GGTATGTGTTGGTCCAAGGCTAATTATGTTTGCGAGGCTTAGTGAGCAAAACAACTCTCCACCAAATGGTCGCATGCAATTCTTGCTTATAAATGATTTCCAATGTGCATACAAAACTCGCCACATTCGTGTGAGGTTTCCAACAACTTCACGTGATCCTTTGTGTGTCCATCTTGAGTCAATGTATTGTAAACATCATGGGACTTGGCAATAGCTTCAAGGAAAGTATATTCAAGTGCATAGACCCTTACAAGGTCTTATCTAGGCCCATGAGAAATTCATGAACATCATCCTCTCTCGCTAAGCCAAAAAATCATAGATGATATCTTGGAGAGATATTGTCGATTACAGAACATTAGAGCATTTTCCAATGAGATAATCATCGAGATTTGGAGAATGCTCAACGAGTCGTTTTAGTGACCCAAAGACAAAGCCAAACATTTTCATTGCCGTCCCACTAGTAATTTGGTCCATTTTTATTAGATACACATATATAAATATAGACTTTTGGTATTGTTTAGTGTGAGGCGCGACCGGACAGGTCAGAGCTTTAGTTTAAGTCTTCAATGATCGAAGTACTTCATAGGAACTAGTAGTAGCTCGTTTTTCTTGCTCACGGTGAGTCCAGGATATTCTTCCATATCGATATCTTCAACTACCATGCCTTCTGGTAACTTCCAATCAAAATGATACAACATATTCGCAAGACCAAACTCCACCATTGTGGTTCCCATGTAAATTGCAGGACATATTCTTCGGCCACTCCCAAACGGTAACAACTCAAAGTGTTTTCCTTTTGCATCGATGTTGTTATCAATAAACCTTTCAGGGAGAAACATCTCTGGATCTTTCCAGGTATCCTGATCACACCCGATCGCCCATACATTTACATAAAGCTGTGTCTTGGGTTCTATCTTGTAGCCATTGATCTCAAATTCTGACATTACTTCTCTTGGAACAAGAAGAGGTACTGGAGGATGTAACCTCCATGTTTCTTTGATCACCATTTTCAAGTAATTTAGCTGATTTGTGTCATCCAAGCTGATCATGAATTTGTTCACCGTTTGGTTCCTGATTTCAGATTGAACTTTCTTCATTACTCTAGGGTTTCTAGCAAGTTCTGCCATTGCCCATGTCATTGTTATTGAAGAAGTGTCCATACCTGCTAAAAGAATGTTCTATTTAACATGAACACATAAAGAAACATGTAAGAACCTCATATTTCAATTGCTAGTGGATGGTGAATGCAAAGTAAAACATCTTTTAACTAAAATTGTTAACAAAGATTATAAGATATACATCTTACCCTAGAAATTTTGAGAAATACCATTTTTATTTTTATGATACAATTTTTTGTCTTCCATTTAAAAAAAAAATACGATTTCTATAACTTGCTTAAGAACATTAATTTGGTTTATGAACATTTATACACATTCTCCGTTAACTAACATGTTAGAAAACATTATGAAACATTTTATATCTTGATTTCTATTGTTCTAGTTGTTTATAGAGATTTTAAAAGTTTTTACCATCAAGATTGCTTTGATATGATTTCTTGTGAACTTGTCATTTCCAACAACAGTTTCTTCTTTCTCCAACCTCAAGAGCACATCCACAAAATCTTCACTCCCTTTTTCTTTTTCTTCTTTATGTAAATCGAACATTTGTTCATAAAATGCATCGAGATCTTGAACGCTTTTATCTCTTCGCCCTTCTAAACCTGAGAACCGGTCGACCATCCAACCAGCATACGGAATATAATCTGAGGCAGAGAAGCTTCCCAACATCTCATATGCCTCACGGACTAGCTTATTTAATCTACCATTGCTCAGCACAGTGCCCTCAAAACTCACACCAAATGCTGCCCTGCATAGCACGCTAACGGTTAAAGCAAGAAATTTTTCGTTCAAGTTAACCTGAGTTTTCTGAGAGGCTGATTCGGCCATTGAATCGATCAGTTTCTTGACCTCCTCTTCCTTGATGGGTTGAATCGAATTAACTTGTTTAGTACTGAAGAGTTCTTGAACTACGAGCTTCCTTACTTCTTTCCAGTAATCATCAAAAGGAGAGAAAGCAATGTCCACATAGTTGTAAGAGAGCTCTCTTGGCCCTGAGGAGTGAGACATGATCCATGAAGTGAACATTCATAAATTTAGTATGTTTTTTTTTTTTTTGTGCAACGAATTTAGTATGTGTTGTGAGATTATTATTAACCCTACCTGCTAAGGGAGGACGGTACAACAATTGAGGTCATGGTCTTTTAGAGCTTGTCTTGCTGTTTCAGAGGAAGAAATTATGACCGTTGGGACTTTTCCAAGCTTCACAAGCATCACAGGACCATACTTCTTTGAGAGATTCCATAGAGATTGGTGTTGTAACTCTCCGATYTGGTGTAAGTTCCCGATTATCRGAAAGCTAGGAGGAGATGGTATTGGCCGATGTTGCCGTCGCTTTGAGCGTTTGAAGGTGGCGAGAAGAAGAAAGAAGATTAGGAAGAGAACTGATATAAGCCAAACGCTTGCCATTTGTATACTCTTTATCTTTCTTTTTTAGTTAAGACTTCATAAGAAATCTTATGTCCTA